CCCGGGGTCCGAAACTGGGCGAAACGCCCGGTGCGGAAAAATTGCACCGCCCAGATCTCAAGCAAAAACGCCGCCAGGACGTTCAGTGTGGGCAGATCCACAAGAAACCCAACCCTGAGATCCCAGGACGTCCATTGATTTTTGGTGTGGGAACGTCACGCTGCTCCCATCGCAGAACCATCGAAACCCGAGAAACCCAGGGCACCCTGGAGGCAAGCAGGGAGCCTCTTGGCATGGGCCTCCACTGTAGCAACATCGACCTGGGATGCCTGTGCCGCTCCCTGCTCCCCGAGGTCCGTCAGGTCTGAGCTGGACCGAGTCGCGAGACCGGATCGGATCGGAAACTAGAGGCCTCCTAGATGGGGTCCGAGTAGATGGGGTCGAAGGATCGCGCCGCATCGCCGATGCATCGCCGATGCATCGGCGATGCACCGGCGATGCATCGGCGACGCCGACGTGGGGGAACACGGTCTCCGCATCGAGCCGCATCGTCGATGCGGCGCGATCCTCCGACCCCATCTACTCCGACCCCATCCAGGAAGCCTGGAGAAACGGATCGGGTCGCCAACGAATCGTCCCGCACCCCGTGGAGTCCAGTTAGTCGCGCCCTGCTCTGGCTGGCTGGCCTCGGCCGATGCTGGTGACTCGCGCCTGGAGATCCGACGCCTTGATTTTGCAATACGGGGGCCCCCAGAAGTCTCGGGCCGGGCGAGAGGGGGGGATAGCAAAGAGGGGGTTCGAGAATCAGCTCACGTAGCTGATTTTCCCGGCGCCTCCCGGAGCCGGAGGCGGCTATGTATCGAGGAATAAGCCCCTCGGTGGGGCCGAAACTAGCTGCATGCAACAGATTTCGTACCCCCCCTTTCCCAATCCCCCCTGTCGTCAGGCCCGAAAGTCTCGACCCACTCCCCGGGACCGGCGTTTCATCCTGGGCCGTGGTTGGACGGCCCCCGAGCCCGATGAGGGCCCCAGAGGCCCCCGACGGCCAAAAACCTTGGGTCCTTGTTTTGTTCACGACGCGACCCAGACCCTGGACGTCAGCATCTTTTTCATGACGGGTCTCGACAGACTCCCCACGACCGGCTTTTCATCCTGAAGCGTTACTTGACGGTCCCGAGGCCCGGTAGGGGTCCCCAGAGGCCGACAATAGCGACAAACCTCCCGTCGTGATTGTTTCATGACCCGAGGGGGTCTGGGGATGTCAGGAACCGAATCGGATCGAGTCGGCATCGCGGTCCCCGCCAGCGCAGGCGGCCGAGGTCCGTGTGCAGGAAGTGCAGCACGGCCTCCAGCGCCTCGCCGCCCACGTCGCCGCCCAGGTCCACCGGCTGCCCGGGGCTGGACTCCTGAGGGGCAACGGCAGGAGGAGGAGGAGGAGGAGGAGGAGGAGGAGGGCGGAAGAGGGCGGAAGAGGGCGGAGGAGGAGGGAGGAGGGAGGAGGAGGAGCAGGGAGGGAGGAGGAGGAGGAGGAGGAGGAGGAGGAGGAGGACGAGGAGGGGGGAGGAAATTTGGGAGGGAACGCGATATCCACCGTCGCCGGCCTGAACCACTTCGATAAGGGAGGGTCAGGGACCAGGGGGCCCCTGCTCCCGCCCTGGAAGCAATCCGAAGGGCGGGGATCGGAAACCAAGCCCCCCCCGCTCCCCCCCGACCCACCCCCTCCCCCGAAGAACAGGAAGGTCGAGAACCCCCGTCCCCCCCCTTGGAAAACTATTCGGAGGAGTCCAAACAGCCCCTTCTCCCACCCCCCCCTGGGCGACGACGACGACGACGACGACGACGACGACGACGACGACGACGACGACGACGACGACGACACAGGCTGTGCATGTCCCGCGTGCCCCACGGCGAGGTAGTGTCTCCACTCACTAGCTTTCGACACCGACGCTGGGGCGAATCCCACTCCTGCCTCCAGCGACGACGCGCCGCTGGCGGTGCGGAACCAGGGCGCAAGGATGAGCCCGCATCGTGGTTCCTGGACGACAGACACCAGCGCACTTCGGAGCTGGAAGCCGAGTTCCGCAGAGCGGGCCGGCCCATCCCGGCTCGCTCGGATGCCCCGCCGGCGCGCCGTGCTCCGCAGTGCTCGGATGCCCCGCCTGCGCGCCGTGCCCCGCCAGCGGCCGGAGACCGAGCTCCGCAGCGCTCGGATGCCCCGCCAACGCGCCGTGCAGGAAGCGCGGCCGCCTTCCGCATCCGCCGCAGC